TCTCTCTTTCCTTCCATTTCCTTTGGAATGATCATGAATTAATTTAATTAAAGTGAACACAATTCCTATCAGACTTTTGAGCACTATATTTGGTCGTTTCTTTGTAAACTGTTAGGTGAGGTGTACAGAGTGCTGTACTGAGAGTTGGCAGAACTGTTTCTTGTACTAGTTTAGTCTTTAGTCCTAAACTAACTGTGCGTCCTTGAGTAAGTCACTTAACCTCTCCAGACCTTCACTTTTTAAAATTAAAGTATCATTGATATACAGTCTTATGATGGTTTCACATAAACAACAATGTGGTTTCAACATTCACCCATACTGTCAAGTCCTCACCCCCTCTAATGTGGTCACTGTCTATCAGTGTAATAGGATGTTATAGAGTCATTAATTTAGACCTTCACTTTCTTATATGCCTACGTAAGCAGCCCAGGACTCATCCCGGATACTGCCTTCCCCCTTAAACATCCTTCCATCCTTAAGGTGAGTGGGATGGTTCCACACAATATCTTAAGTATCTTCTAGCCACATTACACAGGCAAGATTTTTCTTCCATGAACTTCTTCAGAATCAAACTCTTGGCACATTCCCTATTACTTTGCTGTAAATGCTGCTCTCATCCAACACAGTGTCACCTCTTTGAGGCAGAATTCATGTCTTTTCCAGAGCTGTGATTCATTTCTGTGGCACCATGAGCCCTAGGACTATAGCAGTAACTACTGTCCAAAAAAAAGCATAGCCAAGACTTAAATGTAAAGTAGGTCTTACTCAGTTTGTGCATGTGTAATAAAATCCTTTGAAAATCTATTAAAAGCTAGGGACCCATTCATAGAAAAATATACATAAGCTTATCACACAAATTAAGCCCATCCATTTACTCAATAGGAATCCAGGAATCCTAGGCTGAGAACACTTGATTTGGGGACATTAAAGGGATCCCTGGAGCTTAACTAAATTATCAAGAGTGCTTTCTTTCCTATTGGAAAAGGGGGCTGCTAAAATAGATATTTATAGATTAAAATATTTTCCAAAACTAAACTATTATGCTTACTTACAAATATCCTCTCCCTAAATCAGATCATGTACTAATCTGCTTAAATCTTTTAGGATACAATGCAAACTTCTTACCATGCATTAAACAGCCCTACATAGCCTGGCTCCTGTCAGCTCTCATTTTATATTTTTGAGCCCCACTGCCTTCCCTTTTGCTCTGGCAACAGGTCAGCTCTCTACGATTCACTCTGTTTTTGCTGAAGAGTTTCAGAGTGGTGTTTACTCTGCCCAGACCACTTCCTGGGGTGCCATCCTGCAGGCCTCAGTTCAAATGTCCCCTCCTAATGAATGCCTTCCCTAACTACCTTATCCCCTACCCTCAATCATTTGCCATCACATCAGCCTGTTTTTTTCGTTTGGTTGATCCTGTCACAATCCTGGCCATTGTTTTTGTTTATTTGCTTACCTTCTTCTCTCCCCTCTAGAATGGTTCGTTCTAAGAGGAACGGGGCCGTGCCTCTTATTTGTGAGTGTATTCCCAGAGCCAAACACAGTGCCTGGCATATACTGGTAGTAGGCACTCAATTACCAATAGCTGAATGAATGATTAAACTTCAGCCAGGGATGGATTAAAACCTTAAGAGGGTCTAAGCACTCAAGATTTGGTGCTCCACCCCCATATTTAACTCTAAGTAAAAACAATACAAACTGTGTACCTACATGTACTGAAATGAAAACAGATTTTCTAGGTTATTGAAAGTAGATTTTCTAGGTTATCTGATCATAATACCTTGGTGCCCTGGCTTTGCTGGTGCCCTAAGTATATGAGCTCTCTGTCTGCTTTTGGGGAATCTATCACTCACTCATCCCCCCTTTAAACATGCTGGAAGCAGTTTTAGGTTAAGCTTACAAAACACCTTGCTGGGATTTTGATAGGAACTGTGTTAATTCTATCAGTTTGGGAAAAATTGACATGTTTACTATATTGGTTCTTCCAATCTGTGAATATAGTAGGCCACTCCAGTCATTTAGGTCTCCTTTAATTTCTTTCATCAGCACTTCATAAATTTTAGCACACAGATCCTGTACATGGTTTTAGAATTATACCTAAATACTTCATACTCTTTGGAGCAACTGTAAATGGTACTGTGTTTTTGTTCCCACATGTTTACTGTTAGCATATATAGATGCTCTTTTAGTAAATAAGGAGCAATGTACTCTTTAATGACGTAAACTTGTTCAATGTTAACCTGCTGGAATAATAACAAGCATTTTATCCTAACATTCAAGTACCTCCATAACGCACCTATGGATCTCTTAAATTCAGCCTAATTCTTAATTGCTACATTCCAATCTCTACTACCATTAGAAGGGCCTACTTGTCCCTCACCTGAACACACCTTATTCATTCTACCTTCAGGTCTTTGCTCATGCCATTTCCCCTCTGGCATAGTCCCTCCACTGAACCCAAATTAAATCTTAATTGTCCTTTAAGGGTGAGGTCAAAGCTCTTCAGAAGATGCCTTTCCTGGCAACCCCAGCCTACATGGCTCCTTTCCTCCGCTGGATTCTTTTAACCAATAGTGTGTGCCACTCAATCATTACATAAGTTTTTAATTAGTTGTAATCTATGTCCTATTTCACCAATTAGATGATATACACTGGGGAGGCTCCCATAATAGCTATCATGGCACCACATACATGGAAGTCACTCCAATGTAATTGTATCAATGAAGAAAGGGGAGAAAGGTTTCAAGATGTCTCAGTTAAAGTAAGGCTACTGGAGCTGCAGAATGTAAAGGGTATTCATATTCTCGTGCAGTCTTTCATCCAGGCAAGATCCCTGCTATCCATCTCTAGGACAAGGATTCTCTCTTTTCCTTTCTTCTCCCAAATCCCAACTCCTGCAACTAAGCAGTTTTGAGTTGCATATACTTTCCAACTACCCCTTGGAAACTGTTCCCAAAAAAGCAGGTCTCCTGTGAAAAGATTTTGAGACGTTTACTTAAAGAGCACAGGTATTGCCATTTAAGCTGCAGTAACATCTCCTGGCCACCAGAGGACAGGGAGCCGCGGGAGAGATTACTTCCCATCAGCAGAAGTGTTAAAGAGGTCAGAGGCAGAATGTGGGTTCTGCATCAGTGGCCTTCAAGCTTCATTGACTACCTGAAGAGCGGGCGCTCTCCCATCTCCGTCTGGGCTCCCTTACCTTCTCTAAAAGATGGGCCAGAAGTTCCCAGAGGCTTACCCCAATGCCAACCTTAAATGATTATCAATAATAACGAATGGACTTTAGTTGCAGGATTTAAAGGCAGAAAAGGTGTATGGAGATTACTTTATTTTACTAACCTGCCACAAACTTTCTCAGGTCTTTTGCCAATTAAAAAAAAAAGTCCCTCCAGCGATGTCCAAAAGGACATTCCACGACAAAGATGCCTTTAGGGAAATGTCCCAAATCTAGTACATTGCAAATGGAATATTTGAGGAGCTGGGCTTATGGGGCAGTCCACTTGCAGGGTGCTTTTCCGTCATTAATCGCATCTTTGTTATCTGATATTCACGTGAGTACTTCTCAGTAGAAGCAGCTTCATGCTCAAATACTCAAAGAACGCTAGAATAAAGCTCCGATTGTCCTATTCAGGGATTCCAAGTCCTGGTTTGTCACCACCTCAGGTCTCTAGATTTCCAAAGCATGTAATGTAGTCTCAAAACAGAGCTATTTTCATTAATCCAAATAAAAAATGCACTAACTCTGTGGAGTTCAATCAACGGGGTCTTGAACCTCTCACCAGGCAGTGAACCTCGGGTCAGATTTAAAGACGATTGTAGCAGCCCCATGCAGAAAACATTTTTAAAGAAAACTTCAGGGTGTTCATACTCATTACATTTGTATGTATAAATAAGTATAAGTACATAGAAGCAAAGTAAGATAATGTTAGGAACATTCACGTGAGGGTTTCCAGCGACAGATCGCAGAATGTCCGACACCGGTGTGGCTTTTCTTAAACTACCTGCACCTTCTCTTTCTTAGGAGATATAGCTGTGCCCTGCATTTTGAACTCGTCAGACTTTTTAAAGAGGGACGGTAATTCTCTCACATCATTGTTTGCGTTTCTTCATGCTGGTGAGGCAGCTGGAAGCAGCCCAACAGGGAGAAAAAGGCTCTGCGACTCAGTGGGGGGAGGTCCTTAAATACCTGCTGGGGCGCAGCGCTGAAGGCGCGCGGCCGGGGCCGGGGGCCGAGGGACGCCGGGCGCGCGGGCGGGCGGACGGGCGGACGGGCGCGGAAGGAGGAGGCCACGGGGTCTCCTCCGCGGGCAGCCTCGGCTCCTCCCAGCGGGCGCCCGCAGAACCTGCCTCGGAGTCTCCGAACTTCGGAACCGAGCGTGACCCGACCCCTCCCCGAGCGGCCAAACGGGGCGCGGGGCCGCGCTCCGGGCTCGGGCGGCCGCAGGATGGGCGGGCGGGCGCGCGGCCCCGCCCGGCGCCCACCGCCCTGCCCTCGCCTGTCTCCTCCTTTCCCCGGGGCTCCGCTGAGTTCATTCACTGGGATTGGTTTCAAGTGACGCCATCTCTTTATTTTTAAACCAATGACCTCATCCGCGCTTGAAGTTTCCTGACCAGCGACTCTTTCTCTTTCCCCCCAACCCCCCACCCCACCCCCCTTCTTCCCCCTCTTTCTGTGCATCCCTGTGTGGGGGGCTTTAACCAGTTTCTAAGCGATTATTATTACCTCTCCCCCCGCCCTCCGCTTTCCCCACGCACCCCCCTTCACCTCCCCGAGTTCTTCACCCCTTTCAACATTGTTTTTTCAAGGCTGATTGGGGCGGGGGGTGGAAGAGAAAGAGCGAAGAAAAGTTGCAAACGTCTCCTCTCCCCCTCAGCCTCCCGCCCCCAGCCCCCCTCCGAGGAGAAGATAATATAGTGAAAAGAAGAGGCGGCGGAGAGCGCGACGGGACGGACGCGAGCGGCAGCGCAGCCGCCCTCCCGGCCCCGCGGCGGCGCCTCGCAAGTCCGCGCGGCGAGCGGGGCGCGAGGGAGGCGCCGTGACAACGTTCGCTTCCCCCGGAGGGAGTCGGGAGGTCCACGGCCTCCAAAGTAAGTGGCCTCCGGCCGGCCGCGCGGACTGCGGGCGGGAGGGTGCGGGGCTCGCGGCGTCCACCGCGCCGGCCGCATGGACGCCGCCCCGCGCGCTCGTCCCGCGGACTCTGCCTTCCCGGCGCCCCGGCCGCCTTTTCGGAAGGCGGGGTGGGGGCGGCCGCGGCCCGGGGCCGCACCAGCGGCGGGAGCGGGGGTGGAGGCCTTGCTGGGGGCCGGCCCGAGCGGGCAGGGGGCGGGCGGCCGGGCGCCGGGTCTCGGTCCGGGCGGCCGGGTCCGCGGCGAGGAGCCGCCGGCGGCGGACGCGGTGCCTTCGCGGGCGAGGTTGCTCACTTCCAGGCGCGACTGTTACACAACACTCCTGCCAAGTGGGGCCCCGGCCTGACGGTTCCCATTATCCCAAATTCGCCTGCGGTGTAAGCAGCGAGGCCACCTGGGTGGTGACGGCCGTGCTTTCTTCAGCCAAACCAACCAGCCAGCCAGAAACTCAATTTTCATACCGGGGCCCGAGTCTTGGTGTTGGTGGGGGTTGGGGGAGGACCGGGGGTCCGGTGCGCCAGTGACTTCTTTATTTACACGAGAGTAAAACATGAGAAATAAGCCCACAGAGACAACCGAGGGTCTGTTTATCAGGTGCAGTTTCATATAATAAAACACCAGGGAGGGAAATATTTATGCAAAACTGGTTTTCAGATGCTGGGTTTATACCCCCAACCTCCCGCAAAAACACAAAAAAACAAAATTAATCTGATAATTAACTTGAGAAAATACAAGCAGGTCTGAAAATGAATGGGCACTGTAGAACTCTGAAGCAGTTTATTGAACGTCAGCTGCAAAGGTCTTCAAGTCTTGGGTGTCTGTTTGGAGAAAGCACACCTCTAACCAGCTTGTGATAAAGTGCAGAGGAAGAACCTGTTGCATAATCTCATTTGCCCTGGGGTTTGCTGTGCCGTCCCCTTGAATCATGGGGAAGTGAGTTAAGTTGCAGGGTTTTTAAAACTCTCTGAAGTTTTTATTTACTCGGTGCTCCGGCTGCCACTTCTGCTTTAAAAGATTATAAGTAAATACTCTGCTCTTACAAGTGAACCAAACCTAACAAACCTGTTTAGAAAATGACCAGGTATGTTTCTTTCCTCTGTGTGTGTGTGTGTGTGTGTGTGTGTGTGTGTGTGAAATCTACCATCAAGAAAGACCTGATGACTACAATTTGGGGAATTAGTCAGAAAATTGCCTCCTTATGCCACTCATTTTGTGGGGCTGTTTTAGGGTGCACATAGGTAACAACTGTTTCCACGAAGGATTTATATTATTTTGAACTTCATCAAGAAAAGAGATTTTTTTTAATTAAGAGAAATTTTTAAAAGAAAAAAAATAAATCTTACCCATGGAGTTAGTTACCTTTTAAGTATTTATTTTTCTTTGAGAATCACGTGTTTGGGTGGACACACAGCTTGGAGGCCATAATTGAGACTTGGGGAGTTCTGTATTTGGTGAAGGCAGCAACCTGGAAAAGTAAATTGAAAATTAAGAATTTTTGGGTTTGTGCAGGTATTTTAGTTGAAATGTGACTGGGCACTGTGACCTTTTGTGTGTGTGTGTGTGTGTGAGTGAGACTAACTGGGTTTGATAACTGGAAGGTTGCTATTAAAAAAAAAAGGGTTTTCTTTTTTTGGTTAACATTTACCATGTAAAAATTTGGGCTAAATAACACCAGCCTAAAAGTTGGTTTGTAGGTATAATGATTTGTACTTATCAATAAGTTCCACATGGGTAAAAATTAAAAATGAGTATTCTTAATTCTAATGGTAATTTATGGTGAACAGCGTATAGAAAAAAATTCTGTTCACGCGCTCTAAAACTACATCAGATGTTAAATAATTGAGTATCTATAAAGTAAAAATAGTCACGTAAAATTGAAGATTAGAGGTCTCTGTGGTCAAAAGATTATTGCCAGTAACTGGAAATGGGGCACAAGAGGGAGATCCTGTTAACCCAGTTCTGTTTCTTTTCTTCATACATTTAAAACTTCTTTGTGGAAGTGAGGCTGAGCTCAGGTCTGAGATGGGTGCAGAGTTTAGGCTGGGGTCAGGAGAGAGCCAGGGTTTGTTGTTTGAGTTTGTTTTCATGCTTTTTTCTATAAGTGCCTGTATTGGGAATGTAATCTCATAGTGTTTTTGGTCTATGGGATTATATATTAATGAAGCTGATTTATATAGCTGCCCAAATATTAATGTTTTTCTATTTTGACACCAGTCACAATATTCTACAAAATATAATTTGCTAGGCTTGCCAGTGTAATTTATACTAAAAACCCAACTTTTCCTAGAGTATCTTTTAAAAAAGTGGAGTTTTCCTATCCTGTGTTATTTGGACTAAAATTTTCACTGGATGTTTAATGTTTTTTAGATGCTTTGTGTCCTCAAGCAAATGGTATTTTAAACTGAAGAAGCAAATTAATTTTGGGTAAGCTGATTTGGATCAGAATCCCTAGGAAAGGGAGGAAATAAATCGGGGGAAACAGAAACCAGATTTTATGACGGATTTCAACAGATTAAAAAAAACTAGTTAAAAAGGTTTCATAGAAAAAACCACAGTTGATGCTTGATTAGCTTTTTAAAAAATTAACTATGTCAAAATGTAAAGCCAAGAGAGATATCCACCATCATAAAAGAAAATATTACTAATGTTGGCTTAAGCAGAAACATAATTAAGAAAGTAAATGTTGCCCAAAGCCACATATATTTATTCCAAAGCCAGATATCTTTTTTTTTAAAATTTTCTTGTGTCATGGATAATCTGATATTTTTGTACACTTCATTAGCCCGGATGATCAAGGATTGGCTATGTGAAGGCGTGAGGTTCCTGAAGGTTGGCTGGATTTAAAGAGCCTGACTCAGGCTTTACGAAGAGGCCATTCTCATACACTGACTGAGAAAGGGGGCTCCAAATTTAATAAAATCAATGACTGGAGAAAACAGGAGTGGTTTAAAAAGAAGAATCTAAGGCAGACTACCAAGGATAGGTACAAAGAAATGATGAAAGCTTGCCAGGGGTATGGTTAGTACAGGAAATGGGATACATCTTGTCAGGAAAGGAACAAGGCGTAAAGGAAAAACATACCCTCCACTACCTCAGCAAGAAGAAGGTAATGAAATTTCACCTTCTTGACAGGGATTAGATACCTCATTTATAGGTACCACTAAAAAAAATCACAAGATTTTTTTATTACATAAAAGTTTGATTTGGGGGAGTGGGATGGATAAATTATGAGCATAAATTATATGAGAATGTAAAACTTGAAATTGCCAAAGATAAATTTAAAATAGAGGGGAACCCACTGCAATCTCAACTGAGTTGTTGGCATGGCAGGGATAGATGATAAAGAGTTGTAACTAGATGATAAAAAATTGTAACTATTAGATAAATTGATTTCTGGATTAACTGCAGATATAAATCAAGCAGAACATTTATTAACGGTGTACTATTTACATGTAGTGGATATACATGGGTCCATGCCCTTAATTAACAGAGAAAGATTACAAGAATTCTAAGGGAGGTATGTACATATGCAAAGATAAACAAGTGACAAATTCATGGTATAAAGGAGAAAGAGATTGGAGCGTTCCAGTAGGTAGCATTCATAGAGATAATAGAATTTGACCCCGTATTTAAAGGCTGTTTAACTTGTGTGTGGAGGAAAGGAAGTGAGGCAGGTGGGGCAGGTGGGAACAGACCATCTATGTCTTCATTCAGCAAATTTATTTGGATCCTCTGTTATGTGCTAGACACTGTCCTAGGAATAGGGCATACAGTAGAAAATAAGATAAGGTTTTGCTCTTAATGGAACTTACATTCTAGTGGGGGAAGATGGGACATTAAACAAGTAAACACTACATGGAAATCTGATGTCAAATACTGATGCCTTGTGAAGATAATGATCAGCGACAAGAAACTTATAGAGTGCTAGACTCTCACTTATTCTGGGTGTAATCTATTTGCCTATGATATCCTGATGAATAATATTCATAGAGTAACTTTTTAATATTTATTTGCAGTCCAAACCAATTTGACTAGAAGCCTATACACTGACTTCATCTTTAACAAAATTTTCAAGAAACTTACGTAATGTTTTTTAGATTGAAACATGCAAACTTTGGGTTTTTAACTCATTAATTTTTCTTCAGTTATTTTGCTGCCATTTGCTAAGAATCTCATGTTTTTACAGTGAGGTTAACATAATCGTTTCTGGTTTACCTAGGATTGTGATGCGTTGGTCTTTAACTTCAGGCCGGTTTCTCCATTAGGAATGATAGTCACAATAGCGCAGTAAAGTGAAGCTAAATTTCAATGACAGTTTGTTTTGATGGTACCTTGTATGAGAGCACACAAAAGATGTATAGACAGTGTAAGCAAGCCATTCAGCTTCACTACCAGATGGGTAGGGTCAGGGATGACACCTCTTAAAGTCTTGTCAACATGGTACAGGAATCAAATGGTAAATTTGGACTGCATTGTGCTCTGTGTGCTTAATTGTGTCTCCTTAAACATTTGTAGGGGAGTTAATGTTCTCACTGGAAATATATCTTACACTTAGGATTTCAGCTCTTTTTCTACAAACATAGAAATCTGAAGCAGAAGTGTCAACTCTGAAATGGAGAAGTCTGGATTCTTCCTGTAATGATCTGAATGTTGTATGTGATTGGGAAGATGTCCTTTACAGTGTTGTGGTACTTTATAGTTAACAGTACTTTATAATGTTCACTAAAATTTTCTTAGTGACTATTCATGATATTGACACAATTATGAAGTACTTCACCAGCATTCTTTAAATATGTTCCCACCCCTTCTCCACTCTTTCTGCAGTTTTAAACTTAAAAAAAAAAGTATAGGTGAAATTAAGGTAAAGGATTCTAAAAAGGATTTATAGTAAGTGCGCATGTTTTCAGAACCAAATCTCTCGATCACTTTTCTATATTCACCTAATTTTCATCTACGATGCA